AAATTTGAAAAAAAAAAAAAACGGAAAATAAGTTTCCCTTTTTTAAATTCTTCCAAACCTTTTTTTTTTTTTTTTTTTTTTTTTTTTTGCTTTTAGAAAGCTCTGAAGTTTGATAAATACTAATCCTAAAAATAATATCGAGCTGTATGTAACTGCCTAAATAGTATTCCGGTCTGAATCTTGATTTTTCAAACCATGAAAAAAAAAAGAGCAATTATGAAATTGACTTCCAATTTTCAGAGATTTGGCTTAGAGCCACTTTACTGCTTGTCTGGCATCCGAACTAAATTACACCAGCTCCATTAAAAAATCTGTAACTCTTGGACTGCTCAGTACAGATTGGGCTATCTGGCTGTAACCGCAGATCTTTAATAGAACAGAAATATCCTTTATCGTCCCACTGTAGGAAACAGAAGCAATGCAAATTGAAGTATGAATATTCAAACCTAGATAAAAAAAATAAGAATAAAATCGAAAAACACAACCATAAAAATGAGACTGTCAGTAAATGGAAATTTTGAAAATTTTAAATACACATGTATTAAACACATGTAGTGTTGTCAGTACTTTAAAGTTGGTTATAAAAAGTGACACTTTCTGATTTATAATTTTCTTATTTTTGTGCCATATAGATTATGTTATAGTTAACGCTATATCTGTGCTTTATTAACACACTTGATTTTCTTTGTGACATTACGACACTTGTCTTTGCTGGTAAAGACAATTGTCCTGTAAAACAAAGTATTACAGGTGGTCTACAATAACGCTTACAATGAAAGAGGAAACCAGATTCATTTGTAACACTTTTGTTCTCGAAAAGCTACAGATTCCCACAGTAACAACCTGCCTGGCTCACTAACTCCACTGTTGTTCTCATACTAAACTGATTAATACTGAAACCACCACATCACTTCAAAAGTTAATAACAGCTGACTCGTTCCGTAAGGCTATCGATAATCAGTTTGTTTGCCGTTCTGCTAATCTATAGCACTAGCTAGTTGTATTAGTAGCTGCTAGCATTAGCTACCTAGTTAACCTCACCCGGGCAGCTTATCTGTAAGTAAACACAACCACCGCCTCCAACAGTGCTAAGAAATAAGAAAATACGTGTTGCGTACCGACTAAAGAAGCTGTCAGGTATCCAGACCGAACACACCGAGATCGTATCGACACCGGGGGAAGCAGCTGCTTCTTCTCAGAACCAGACAGTCCACGTCATGACCATTCACTGTTATCGGTGGGTTACTCACGCCAGTGACGACTGTAGTGGATTACTGAAGGGGTTTCCCAACGAACAGATGGGATCCGCAGCGCCCCCAGCTGGCAAGCACTAATTATGACAATACATTTAAAAAAAACAAAACAAACTGTATTATATGTAATGCGTCAAAGATTCTCAAGATGGTGCTGTTTCACAAGCCTTGTCTCTATTTGCAGGAACAACTCAATAAAAAAAACAACCCAACCATAACCCCTCTCTCCCCCCCGAAAAACAATAAAGTACTGTATTCGGTATTTAACTTCAAAACACATGTATTGATTACAAGCAGAGTAAAATATTTCAAGTTGTTTTATTTTTCTGATAAATTTGATGATTGCCACTTACACTTAATAATAATAATAATCAAAATAAGAAAATTAGGATATTATGTAAAACTAATAAACAGGGATTTTTAATCGACCTGTTGAGAGGCTAGTTCATGTACTTAATAATTACATTGTGGTTCTGCTGAGGTGTTCATTAAGCACAGGTTGTCTTCCTTAAGGTTAAGGCTTAAGGTTGTCTTCCTTAAGCCTGTCTGAATTGTTGTCTCTGTTGTCTCTGATCTTCTTCTTGATAACGCTCCATAAATTATCGGTGGGGTTCACACCAGGTTGTACATATTTCTGAACTGTATGACTTTGGGGAAAATTATCTAATTAACTGATACTTTTTAAGTTATACAGAGGCAATGTTGAATTTTACAAGAATAAGCTTGATAAAAGTACAAATAAACTGTTTACATAGGCTGGTCACTCGATAGATGTTAGATCCATTTTTCAAAGTCTGAACTGGAACTTGGCTTAGTTGAGTCTGACGTTATTCAGTCCAAGGCATCCTCTTGAATGGACTTTATAGAGCTAAATACAAATGCACTTTTCCTTTTTTCGCTCTTGTTTTAATTCTTATAATCACTCTCCTTCCATGTCATCTTATACACTCCTTTATGTTTGTGTATCAGATAAAATCCCAATAAAATATAGTGATGTTTCTTAATGTGGAATAAGCGTGAAAAAAAGTTCAGAACGTAAGAAATAGGTGAGTGCTGGCGAAGGGACTGGAAGCCTATGCTATTTAGATTGAGCAAACATTTGATTGTTTTGACTGTGAAAGCGTGTAAAAACTTCAGCGCCGAAATCCAGTCCCATCAGAACGTGTGAAATAAATTCCCTGTTCTCGTCAGCAAGCAAGAGGCACAGACTCCCCATGGACTGCACATGCATTAAAGCTATATAAGGGAAAAGTTATATAACTGATAAGATTATTATTATTATTATTATTATTATTATTATTATTATTATTATTATTATTATTAT